CTCGCATTTACGGAAGATATTCATGCATTGCTCTCGCTTCTCTTATTTTATTTCAATGAGAATAACACAATGAAACGACGATAAAAAGGATATATAGAAGGGCATATAGTAAATATGTTTTATTAAATTACCTTCGAAGTTTTGCGTGTCACTTGAAAAGACTCCGCTTATAACCTCGTCGATCGAAGGAACATTTGAATTTCCCGCTTCTTGTACCTTTTAACCCGTGAATCGACGACATTTATCGGTAGATCTCGCGGCCTTTCTTGATACTTTGTAAAACGTGACTATTGGACAAGGTACAAGTAACCTCGACACACACACACACATACACATATCATTGCAAAACTGCTATGCAACATCAGCGCGTGTTCTCGAAAACGAGAAAAAGAGCCTACGAGATATATCGAATGCAATCGATCTCTCAATCGACCTTATCCGTTATTACTCGGTACGCTTTTCTATAGGTAATACACCTTTTTCTCTTTTCTTTTCTTTTATTTTCTTTTTTTTCTAATTCTTATTTTTATTATTACTATATTTTTAAAATCTATTATTCCATAATCATCGAGACTCTATCATTCGAAAGGAACAAAAATTAACGAGTTAAAGTTCTGTCTATAAGAACAATTCATAAATAATTTTCACGTTTTATTTGTTCGAATGGAAAAATGTATTCGATGCGTATGAAACCATAAGAGACAACGACGTACCGTACGTCGTCACTCACGCACGATCGCGATGTCGTATAAATAGAAGTCATAGCCTATTCGATGAAAACAGAAAGAGAGAGAGAGAGAGAGAGAGAGAGAAAGAGAAAGAGAAAGAAACGCAACCAAACAGCCAGAGAGAGACAGAGAAAGAGAGAGAGAGAGAGAGAGAGAGAGAAAGAGAAAGAGAACGAGAGAAAGAGTGGCGTCTCTCACGTTGCGTTTACGACAGTGACGTATTGTAAATGCTGGATGTCCACTAAGTGCAGTCCAGTGGCGTCGTCGTCGTCGACGAGCGCGGTTGATGATGATTGTACGTTTGTCGCTTCGAGAACTGACCGAATAACGCGTGTACATTTTTATTTTTCTCTTGGAATTATATCGTTCGTATAACGAACGTGTAGAATACTGATATCCTTTTTTCTTTTGTCTCTCTCTCTCTCTCTCTCTCTTTCTCTCTCTTTCTCTCTTTCTCTCTCTCTTTCTCTCTCTCTCTCTTTCTTTCCAATGAGAGAAATAGAGAGAGAGAGAGAGAGAGAGGAGATAGAAGATACATAGAACGACCACTAACTCTTCTTTCCTTGTTTTCTTTCGCAAAAAGGAAGATTTTCTTACATATATATACATACACAGTTATATACATATACGTATATACATGTATTTATACATGACGCACGCACGCACGCACACACGCACGACACGCATGCATGTATGCATTCGTGCATACATGCATATATACATACATAGTTCGTGCTTCGACCTTTTCGTAGAGAAAACAAAAAAGTGATGAAGAGGACGCGAAGAGACGACCAGTTTTTAGTTCGAAGTACACCAGATAGATGGAGAGGGGGAATCGTTTCTCTCTCTCTTTCTCTTTCTTTATGTCTCTCTCTCTCTCTCTCTCTCTCTCTCTTTCTTTCTTTCTCTCACTCTGTCTCTTTTTCTCTGGAACTTCCGTGCGTACTACACACGTTCTTTCCTCTCCGTCATTCCTTCTACCTAACGTATTTCCCCCTCCCCCCACCTCCCTTCCTCACCCTTCGCCGTCATCGTCACTGCCGTCGCCGTTGTCCGCTGCTTCATAGTGTTAACTCTCTCCCCTCTCCGCCCTTCTCACTCACTCGCTCTCTCTCTCTCTCTCTCTCTCTCTCTCTCTCTCTCTCTCTCTCTCTCTCTCTCTCTCTCTCTCTCTCTCTCTCTCTTTCTCTCAGTCTCCCCTCTTCCCGCAACATCTCTCCCTTGTACACGTTCACTCACTCACCGTAGACTGACTTCGCGGGGGCACGCACGCACGCACGCACGTACGCATGCATGCACGCTCGTTCGTTCGAGCGTGCCTATGTCAGTGCGATAGTAACTTGCACCGTGTGCGGAAGAAGAAGTGCAGATGAGCGTGAGCGAAGAACGAGCATGGCAGCGGATTACGACGAGTGATATACTCCTCTCGACGGACGCGCGCGCGAGTTTTGTCGTGTGTGTGTACCCGAGAGAGAGAACCTAAGGGAAGAAGGACTCCTCTCTCTCTCTCTATCTCTATCTCTCTCTCTCTTTTTGTCCCTTCCTCCCTTCCTCCCCTTTATCCTTAATACTATTCTTTACCTTTCTGTTTCTCATTGCTCTCTCTCTCTCTCTCTCTATTCTCTCTTTCCCGGCCTGTTTTCGCTATCCTGTCTTTCTCTCTCTCTCTTTCTCTCTGTCTGTCTGACTGTCTTTCTTTCTCCCTCTCTGTATATTGAATCTCTACTCGTTTATACTCGTTTCTCTTCCCCTCTCTTCCCCTCTGTCTGTCTGTCCACGTCTCTCTCTCTCTCTCTCTCTCTCTCTCTCTCTCTCTCTCTCTCTCTCTTTCTGGTCGTATACTTTATTCTTTATTCTTTCGGCCGATTCTCCTCCTTCTGTCCGTTTCTTAACGCGGCGCGCGCGCGCAGCTGCGCGCACTCTACGAAAATAGAACTCTGAACGTTAAAAAAGAGGAGCCGAGGAAGGAGCGAGGAGAGTGACTATAAGGCGGTCGTTAGAATGTCGCGCGTGTCGCTCAACAAGTCGCAGTACAGCACGTACGGCTCGCGTCGCGTGCGAAAAATCAGCACGGTATGTATTAAGTAGGGATTATCTTTTTCCGTTTTATTAATTATTTCACACCAAGAACCACCATCTTTCTTTTTTTTTTTTCTCCCTCTCTCGATCTCTCTCTCTCTCTTTCTCTCTCTCTCTCTCCTGATGGCAGTGACTACATACAACACGTCTTTGTTCCCCGCTGTGATTCAGAATCTCCGTGGAACACGTGACTAGCCTTGACAGTAGTAGCACTTCATGCTTTCGGTCTTCGAATACCTGGCTCGAATCTAATCTTTTTTAATTTTGTCCTTATCGACGGCCCTATCGTAGTGTCCTCTGTCTTTTTTTTTTTTTTTTTTATTTTTCTTCTTTTCTTTTTTCTCTTCTTCCTCTAACATTTGAAAATTTTATACTCGTGCTTATTTCCTTAATTATGTATGACGAAAATATTACGAGCGAAGTTATTTTCTTTTTTTTTATTTTTTTTTTATTTTTTTTTTATTTTTTACCTTCATGCACCAATACGTGTGTCATGCTTTTCTTTTTTTTTCTTTTCTTTTTTTTTTTTACATATGTATATACATATAAGAAGAATAGAGAAGGGTGGAAAAAATGAGCGGGCATTTTGAATGCGTCCATGTATATTGTATTGTATGAGGAATAAAGTAGTATTAGTAATACCGGTAATGGTAATAGTAGCGGTAGTAATAATAATAATAATAATAATATTAATATTAATATTAATAAGAATAATAATAATAATAAAAATAATAATAATAATAATAGTAGTACTAATAATAATATATCGTCGTTCAAGAATTTTATTCGATGTCAAGAAAAAAAAAAAAAAAAAAAAAAAAGAAAAAAAAAAAAATGTGATTAATTCCCAATATACTTGACAATTCTTTCAAGGATTAATTAACGTTTCATGTGTGTTCTCTCATGCGTTGGCTACTATCATCCGACAATGATCGTTGTAGCGCGCGTCCTTATTTATTTATTTACGCGCATTGCCAGAGAGAAAGAGAGAAAGAGAAAGAAACTCCGCGCGTCTCTTCGTATGAAAGCCGCGTATGAAACAAAACAAGGTCGAAAGCGAGCGTCGCCCGTTAGCTTCGTGCCCCCCGGCGTTAGGTGGCGTCACGTAACATTGGCAATTCTAATGACAGCGAAACAGCTGATCGACTTGTGTCTGACCTTCTACTCGAAGCTCTCTTCTTATAAGTCATTCGGGTAGTGATTGTCTTGAAACTCTTGGATCCAAAATGATTTTAAAAATCTATTCCAAATGTATGTTACATTTTCTATATCGATTTAGATCGTTATTCGAAATATCAAATCAAATCAAATCATATCGAATTTTAAATTTAGAATAGATCTAATAAAATAGAATATTTTTACTGGGTTCGTATCTTTTATTTACGAAAAATAAAATATGACGATGATAATGACGATAACGACGACGACGACGACGACGACGAAGGAATCCTAAATTTAATAAAAAGAAAAGAATATTTCACGGGAACGAAGAAAGTTTTAACGTTTTAGAGATTAGCCATTCTAAATTTAGAAGGAAATGCTATTAATTCTAAATTTAAATAACAGAAGATGATGCGTAAACGTTTAGAAACACGTATGCGCACACGTAGTTTCCTTGTTTATACGGAAATATTATAGATATAGGAGGCCTCGTAAGATAAATAAGCAATCGAGAATGAAACATGCCGTGCGAAATGTTTAGCATCGTAACTAGCTAGCGCATGTTCGCGCAAGTGTTCCTCGCAATTATATAGAACATCAATCTTGCGAACAGATCAATGTAATTATCGTTAAACGTTAATTAACATAGATTGAATTATCGTATATATTAGAGTTACACATTTCTAGGAATAATATTTATGAAATGAAATAATTCTTATAACTATTTTATTACGAGATGATAACGTGTTTGAATCGATCGAAAATGATTTTCTTTTCTTTTTTTTTTTTCCTTTCTTTTTTTATTTCTTTTTTTTTCCTTTCTTTTTTTATTTCTTTTTTTATTTAGTCATCCGCTATATTATTTATTCATTTTGTTGGATAGTCGTATTATTTAACATTTTCTTCTTCTTCTTCTTTTTCTTCTTCTTCTACGTTTTATGTAAACGTATGCGGGCTTTTATCATTAAATCCAACGTTAAATAGTAAATCTAGTCGCGGGCATTGATAAAATCAAAGCTAAGCATTTATAATATCTCGTTGCTTGCGTTTGCATTTTAAGATCATCTCGTTGTGGTGCAAACTGGTAGGTGTAACTACTGGGCTATCGCATTACATTCCGCACGTCGAGAGTTTACTTAGGAATTGACTCGTTTCTTTTCATCGTTCTTTATATATTATTCCGGGAAACAAATCTGCTTTTTCTTTTTTAAGCATGCTTCTCTCTCTCTCTCTCTCTCTCTCTCTCTCTCTCTGTCTGTCTGTCTGTCTGTCTCTCTCTCGATATTATTTCGCTACGAGGAAAACCTCTTTTGCTCCATCTCGAAACGCGCAAAACAATTTCAATCCGCCATTTTATTATTCTTACTTTTCATTTTATTTCTTTTTATTTTTATTTTTTTTTTTTTCTTTTTTTTTTCCTTATTCCTAACGACCAACGATAAATTAATTCGATACAATTGAGAAGAATAACGTGTTTCAGTGACTTTTGTAAGTCGCGAATAATATCCATGAAATCAAATAATCTTTAAAGCGTTTAAGGTGAGTCGGATTGACGTTGCTCGAAGCAAGGACGTGGCATAAGTTTTCCATTAACATTACTTACATATAAGTTTGACGATTAATTTATCTTTGTCGATCGAAGAACGCACGTATGCGTTTTTCTTTTCTTTTTTTTTTTTTTACGCGTAATACCATTGAAATTTGTATTAAGAATGTGGGGCAGGGAGGGAGTAGGAGGAAGGAAATAAATGGATAGACTGAAATAATTAATTTTCATAGCCCTAAATGTAAATAATATATTTGAAATTATAATTCACGAAGAATTTCAATAATCGAATATATATATATACACACATATATATATATATATTTTGTCGAGAAATCATAATTAAATTAATGATTTGCTTTACAAAATCAATTCATAAATCTATCAACAGGTTCGTAATTTTTGTTTCTTTTCTTTTTTCTTTTTTTTTTTTTTTTGTTCTTTTTTTCCAGACGGAGAGCGAGTACTCCGTAGAAGAGCAATCGAGACTAACAGGAGCAGATGGAGCGGCCGATGAGACGTCCCCGGAGGACGAAGGAGGATCTCTTTGCGAATATCATGACATACCACCACCTCCGGACGGTGGCTATGGCTGGGTGGTTGTGTTTGCGTCGTTTATGTGTAACATGATAGTGGATGGGATCGCATATACATTTGGCGTTTTCCTTGGCGAATTCGTTAAATATTTTGGGGAGGGGAAAGGCAAAACTGCTTGGGTCGGTTCTTTACTCTCTGGCATGTATCTTAGTGCTGGTACGCAAAATTTTTACACTTAAATTTTCCATTTCTTCTATATAAATTATGCACTGCCTTCTCTACTATTGATTCCTTCCACTGCTACTCCTTTTTCTTTTTTTCTTATTCTCTTTTACAGGACCTGTTGTCAGTGCTCTGACTAACAAATATGGTTGTCGGGCTGTCTGTATGGCAGGAAGTTTTCTAGGAGCTGCGGCATTTGTATTATCGACATTTTCAACCAGTGTAAATATGCTTATGATGACTTACGGTGTGATGGGAGGTGCGTAATGTGCACCGAATGAATTAACCAATAGTATCTATTATATTTAACTGGTGTCATTCTTTTAATGCTTTCTTTCAGGTATCGGCTTTGGTTTAATATATCTTCCTGCGGTAGTTTGCGTAGGCTATTATTTTGAAACCAAAAGATCTCTTGCTACGGGCATTGCGGTATGTGGCTCAGGGTTTGGCACGTTTGCATTTGCTCCTCTTGCCACCATGCTGTTAGAAGCATACAGTTGGAAGGGGGCAAATTTAATCTTAGCAGGCCTTATTTTAAATTGCGCAGTAAGTAAAGAAACCCGTAGGATTATTTATATTCCTTAAGGATATATTATTTAAAATATTTTTGATTGCGACAATGAGACTTATTTGTAGGTATTTGGAGCAATGATGAGACCCCTCGAATATCCAAAAACTTCTTCTGTAAAGCCATTGTTACAAAGAATGGCAGAGGAGAAGAGGTTTCAAATGGAACGTGGAAGTATAGGTGGTTCTTATTTCATGGTGCAACTACCTGATGGATCTATGGAGAAAAGAATGAAAATGCCTATTAATATTGATCCGGGTGTACACTCCAGCTTCAATTTAGATCAATTAGTGCCTGGTAAAATCTTAAGAGTTTTTGTCATATTTAAAAAGTGCATCCTTAGTAATATAATTTAATGTATAGCTCATTGAATAATCATGATATTAAAGGAACTCCTTTAACACCAGTTCCAACGGTGCCGACCCTACCAACTATATCGGAAGTAAAAGTACAAGAACACTCATCCAGCGGGGCAACTAGTAATAGTGGTAGTATGGATTTAAAAAGCGCTTCTACCAAATCAAGAAGTAAAAAGAATTTAAATGAAAAAGACAAGGATACGATAGAGAAACCCGAAGGTGATATTATTAAGCCGATAATTCCAAGGAACGCTTCGCAACCAGCTTTTACTACACATGTGCAAGGTTTGCCTAAAAATGGTTCCGTACCATTCTTCGATAGAATCCGTAAAACAAGTACCGGTGAAAGATATAAACCAAGTTTAAGCGCTATAAAGAATTCTAGAACAACCCTGAATTCAAATGGAGACATTCGAAAAAGTTTACATTTAAGACTTTCCACTAGCAGTGTATTAGGATCACGTAACAACAATGCAGAAGTTGAGGTAATATTACTTTACAATTATTCAATTTTTTTTTTTATTTATTCAATGATTTTTTACAACACTGTTTGATATCGATTTTTTTTTTTATTTTATTTTATTTTTTTCTTCCTTTTTAGGACGGTGAAAGCATAACTTTTACGACAAGTACATCTCGTATACCGAAGGAGAAGCCTTTAATGATTCGTCCTTTATCAAGGAAAGATATATTTTACAGCGGTAGCGTGGTTAATCTGCCAGAATATCAAAGTCAAAAGTCTCTTGCTAATTATCGTCAAAGTGTCATTTCAATTCCGAAATCTGTACGTGGTGAAATAAAAGATATCGATATAGAAAAAGCGCCTCAACGTGAGTCGACAATTAAATGTATTTAATTTTCAAATGTCGACAACGGTTGAACGAAATTTTAAATATTACAATGAAATATTTCAGAACCATTGTGCCCCTGCTTAATTTTACCTGACTCATTTAAAGAAGCTTTAGCCACAATGATGGATGTATCTCTGCTAAAGGATCCAGTTTTTCTTCTTATTGGAATAAGTAATGTCTTCGGTATGGCAGGATTATATGTTCCTTTTGTATATCTCGTAGATGCTGCTATCTTAGACGTAAGTATGAAATTTTTATTACAAGTAATATTTTAAGACTTTTTCTACAAAATTATTTATATTATACTAATAATGATTTGAGCGGCTCAAGATTTATATGGTAATCAAAATTTATATGGGACTACCTACTTCAGATATATGTATATATATATATACATACATATATCACTTAAACAGTTTTCAAAGTATAGTTTAACATGTCCGTATGATTTATTATCGTCATTAGAACATTCAAAGCTTTTATTGGAAAAGTCCAAGGTATCTCATATTATTTTTTGATTGTCCATTAATCATCCTTCGTCGCTTTCACATAAGAATGACGAGACTCATCCTTTTTTTACATTTATCTAAAATCATTATTAGCAATCTGAGTTTCTCTTCATTAGGTTCAAACAATTTCAAGGATTTTTCATTGATTGAATAAAGATAATTCGAATGAGTTAACATTTAAATGAGAATTCTGATAGGTTTGACAAAACATTTAAACGACCGTCGTATTTTTCGACACTTAAGATTAGAGAACACTAGTATCGTTCTTTTTTGCGCTTAGGGATATGATGATGGCATCCATATTTTTAATTTATGTTTTATCAATCAAATTGATGCTATTGTTATAAACAAGACGAGAAATGTATTTACATTTAATACTTCCTTTTATATAAATTACAATATTCACGTTTTTTTTTTTTTTTCTTTTTCATTTCAGGGAATTGAAAGCAACTCTGCATCATTTTTATTATCCATTATTGGTATAACCAACACAGTGGGTCGTGTAGCTTGTGGTTACGTCGCAGATTTTCCTCAAGTCGATTCGTTATTGTTGAATAATATATGCTTAATTATATCAACTGTTGCTGTAGCAGCTACACCATTTTGTCACACTTATGCTGCTTACATTGCCATGAGTATATTCTTTGGCATAGCAATATGTAAGTAATACTTTATCCATAATATTTTAAACAATGTTTGAGATAAAAGGAAAAACAAAAAGAAAAAAAAAAAGAAACAATTTAAGAAAAACAAAAACTGCATATATAAAATAAATTCTTCTAAATACTTTAGCCGGTTACATCTCATTAACGTCGATCATTTTGGTGGATCTTTTGGGATTGGATAAGTTGACAAATGCATTTGGTCTTCTCATATTATTCAGAGGAGCTGCAGCGATCGTTGGTTCGCCATTAGCTGGTGCCGTTTATGATGCCACACAAAGTTATAGTATACCATTTTTCATGGCAGGATTTTTCTTCCTCGTAAGCACGGTCACCAGTTTCATGGCACCCGCCATGAAACGTTGTACGACACCGCAGGTATTTAAACGAACTTCATTACACTTCATTTGCATTATTACGAGAGTGATTCTTTCCTCTTTCTTTTTTTTTTTTTTTTGCTTCCCCCCATTTTTTTTTTTTCGTCTGACAAGATCACATTATGCATTTATAGACACAGCCTGTGATATTAGATACGTTGACACCAATTGACGAGGATATAGAGGAAGAGAACGAGGATGATATACCGGAGATAGTTGAAACTGCACCGTCACCTCAAGATCCACCGGAGAAAGAAATTAAACAGATAGAGTCTGTTTTATAAGCACCTAAGCATCTTTTTTTTTTTTTTTTTTTTTTTTTTGTAAGATAGAGAGAAAAAATGTCGCCTTCACTCCGAGCCACACTGTGATAGGGCTGCTTAAATTCAAGAAGGTCTCAC